TGCACACCCCAAATAAGTCAAACAGATTTTGACATTTCTTGGTTTTGTTTTTTCCCCCGCCCCTTCTTCTCTTGACAGTTTTTTATCATGCTGTTAATTGTATTTCTGTTGGAGCTCACCGTTGTGATTCTCTTCTTCGTCTACACTGACAAGGTAAGGCAGCTTCTTGGTTTTTCCTTCCCCTGCAGCAGACTTCTGGGCCCCTTTCTCCTATAAATAACTCAGGAAGCGCCAGCCTTGGTATGCGTGTCAGGCACCCGCCTGCCTTGAGGTCCCCTTGGAAGGAGGCGCCACGAATGCACAAGCAGCCCTGCCAGGCCGGGCTCTCGTGTTCCTCCTGGCCACAGCTCAAGGTCGTCAGTGCTGCCAGGGCCTCAGCCATTTAAAAACCAAACCAAACAAACCCACAAGCCGGGAGCACGTAGAAAAAGATGCCATCAGACACGAATCAGATTTTTTCACGTGCAATTTGGGGGCCGTGTTAACATTGTGCCAAAGGAGGTGTTACGAGCTTGGGTAGCGGGGAGAGGGTACATGAGTCGTTACCTTGTAGGCTTGCTTCTTGTAGCACACATGCACTTAGATTTCAGTGAACAACCCAGGTAAGTGTACAGAGCTTCAATATACACAGCTTTTGTTTGTGATTTCAAATTTGCTTTACACTTCATCTTTGTTCTTGTAATTCAGTTAAGGGCAAGATGCCCTGTCTGAGCTGTCCCTCCCATTAAAGAATTATTCTAAAAAGATTTTTATATGAATAAACCCAAAACCAAAGCTACAACTGTACCTAATCTGTCTATTCAGGTTTAAGTCTTCTAACAATGTCTTTTATAACTGGTATCTACGGGAATATGAAAACTAGAGGGCAAGTGGCAAAATTATGCAAGGATATATGCGGCTAAATGAGATTTTCTTTCAAGCTCTGTGGTCTCAAACTGTTTCTTGGGAAGATGAAGCCATCTCCTTTATTTGACTCAGTAAGCAATTAGAAGTCATCAGCTACATGACCAATAAATACAGAATGGAAAGACTTTTATAACAAAATACATTGAGGCTTGTAGTAGAACCAGATTAACTCAGTATGTTTAGCAATATTCTGGATGAGGAGCGAGTAATAAAGAGGCAACCGTATTTTTTTAGAAAGACTCTGAATCATTCAGTTAATGAACAGCAGGACTGCTTGTCAGGGCGCTTCGGAAGGCCTGCAGAGAAGGAGGCTACTGGACAGCAGGTAGCTGGAGCTCAGGATGAACTCACAAGGTGATTGAAGCAGATGGGGTGATTTAAAACTGCACATTTGCATTATTGGATTTTGACTCACTCGTAACCCCTAAGGAGAGAGATATCCATGTTACAGATAACAGCTTTATAAAGGCATCAACTTCGTATGCAGTGGGGCTGCAGAAACCAAATGCAACACGTGGTATAGATTTAGGAAGTTAGAAAATACTATCTCGTCATTGTTTTAATTGATAGACTAGCTTCCTTGTGAATTCAATGTTGAGTTTTTGTTACTTTGTTTCAGCAAAGGGTAGCAGAAGTTATGGGAAGCACTAGAAATGCAACACACATGGAGAGGAGACTCGCTCAGTTCATTTTGGGAAAGTAAAGAGATCCTCTGCTTAAGAGACCTTAAGTAAAATGATAGCTGTATCTAAAATAATGAATGAGATTGTACTGTCATGGCACAGAACTAATCCTTGAAAATGCAAAGGTGCCTATTTTAAAGAGAAGCAGGACTTGTTACACTCAGCACTGTTGTCTTGTAGACTTCCCTGCCATTGGTGGCTGTTGAGAACGGTAGCTGGATAAACGTGTGGGTGCAGGGGAAAGACAAGAGACATAATGTTTATATCCATAAAGCAATCAGGGTTGTTATGCTGATGAGTGCATCAAAAAGACCATGGGTCCTTACTCGTCCGAGGTAAAAACAGCTCACAAGTGCCAGGAAGGATTCTTTCTCTCCTTAAGCTTGTTGATTTGCAGAATTTCTAACTGTTATTAATAATGATATTAGCAAATTTAGCCTTCATCTGAGTCACTTAATGAAGGTTCATGCAGGAGCTACTCTGCAGTTGTTTGTAAGACCAAAACTCACTCTAAAATACAGACCCTGGTTGAAAAGCAGATGTACTGGGTTCAGGGATTGCTGTGGTCCCTGTGTGGCAGGTGATGAAATGTGAGCCTAGGTGCCATGCAGGCACCTGCATGACTTCAAATCCATGGCCTCACAGCGAGAAGATCAGTGGCCTGGGTCCATGTTACACTTGCAGTCCTGTCTTTACCCCGATTTGTTACAAAATAAACAAAACAGCAACAGCCTAAAGCTAATACTTTCTTACAGTATGTGAGACAACAATCTGTGTCCCAGCTTTTCTGAAGAACAGTCTTGTCATACCTGCTGGCCTGGGCGATGTTGCTAACCAGACAGGTCAGCATCCAGCATCTGCAATAACTCAGCTCATGCAATTCCTTGCGTTATCAGGGGAGGAGCAATGTACTGACACCTCCGTGGTACAGGAGAGCAGCATTAGCTGGGCATGCCTCTGTCAAAACCTTCATCTGAGTCACTTAATGAAGGTTCATGCAGGAGCTACTCTGCAGTTGTTTGTAAGACCAAAACTCACTCTAAAATACAGTATGATTGGGACTGTATGTGCATGTAAACTTCTTCCCTAAGTAAAATGGGGGCTAATCATTATTTTCTGTTTCTCGCTTTAGAAGAGGTTTAAGAATAATTGATTCCCTGGCAGTTTTCCCATACACCTTCTTTGCTATGCGCGAGGCCTTAGCAGCGAATACAATGTGGATTGTAGCTCTTAACCACACACTTCTTTGTTCAGCCCGAAGTTATTACATTTATGCCCTTTTTGAAGCAGTCCGAATTTCAGAGATGAAGCTTAGAGTCCTATGAAGAACCCCCTACCCATGGCCTGAATTTGCTCCTCAAGATGTCTTATTTTGATTGCATTGATTCAGAGCAGCATCTGGGGGTCTGTATGTATAAGAGATCTGTGGAGTACCGATAGGGTTAACTTTAATTCTATTGTGATAAAAAAGAAAGCAGCAGAACCCTGCGTGCCTCTGATTTTGAGGGCTCAGGCTGTACTCCTAATGCTGCTCAGCACTAGCTTGGATCCTGTTAGAATGTAAATTATGCTAATAAAATGCATAGTCTTGTACCAGATCTAGCTTGCACAATCCCTCTGCTTTTAGCATCTGTATTTATTTTTACTGTGATGGTTCTCCTGGAGGCACAGAAAAAAAAAAGGTCCGTATTTACTTTTTTGCAGCTGTAATCTATTATTTTTTCAGTAGGTTTGTTTGTTCAGATGTCTGCTTTTTTTTCCTCATTTATAGGCAGAGCTATGGTGCTGCTATTTAATGACCAGAAATGGAAGAACATAACCAAACCAGAATGTGCTTTTTTTCCCTCCTCTTTTCATTTTTGAAATGTCAAGCCCAACAGTGTGAGCCCGTTTAAGGAACAAAAGTACCGAAGCATCACTGACCATGATATTTGATTATGGGAGCAGTTGCTGCCATTGACAGTTCCAAGTTAAGACCTGAATTTTCCGTCAAGATTAGGCAATTAGCTCCCTTGGGGTCCCTGAGAAAATTGCAGTCTAACTCCCCTGCCCAGCTAGCTGTGCTGAAAATGGCCCAGAGAGGAGGTCTGAACTAGGATGGCTAGCACTGGCCTTTCGTGAGATGCGTGAAAATGCCCTGATTTTCTCTTTGCCCCAGTAGATCTTAATGAGTTTGTCTGTAATTTTTATTGCTACTTGGTAGAAGTACACGCTGGAGATGATGTATTTCTGGCTTTGGTCCTTGAAGCACTTAGCAAGTAATTGTCATTGCTTATTGCTGTTGTACCTGCTTCCTGCTTTGGGTCTGGCAGAGCCCAGACCCAAACGTGCTGGGCATGATTTCAAAGCTCAGTTTTGACCTCTGCCACATCTGGTTTCAAAGGCAATGGGAGCTCTCCTCCCCCGTGCCCGTCGGGGTAGGGAGGGCTCTTGGGGAGCATCTCGGGGCCATCTCTAGCCCCCGGCGCTGCGGCCGCCTGGCCACGTCGCGTTAACGCCACGCGCTTTGGAGCGTGCAGGTCCTGCCACGTGCATGAAGTGGCTTCGGTGCAGCCTGCGCGGTCTCCCATGCTTCATTTCCCCACTAGAGCTCCATTTGTTTGGCATTCAAAAGAGCTCTCCGCACAAAGAGCTGTTCCCGTCATGTAGCTGCCATTACTTTCTTGGCAGCCTCTGAAATTGGGCTTTTTTATACGTGCTAACATAGCTAAAGGCCTGGAGAGTAACCAGTACAGCCTTTCAGGCTGATGTGGAGGGATCTAGGAATCGTCTCCTGGATTGCGACTCCCTGCAGTCTTTGCTCCCCCAGGGTGCTATGCTAGTGCCCATCATGCATTTGATTTCTCTGCTGCAAAATAACGTTAACTAAAGGAGCGGTACAGTGGTTAGAAATGTCTTTATGGTTTTCCTTAGTAATAAAATTAATTTGAGCTGGTTGATTAGCATTTCAGTACTGGTGTCATACAATAGAGAGTTACAGAAATTTTGTCAAAAGCATTTAATTTTCAGCAGTTCAGTTTGGCTTTCTTTTTAGCAAAGCATTCAGGCACAGGGTTCTTTTTAGCAAAGCATTCAGGCACATTCACCAGACGACTTAAGTGGATACTTAAATCCATATGATTGCCTTAATCATAGACCTCCAATTTTTTAAAGTTGACAGATGCCTTTGAGTTCCTTGGAAAGGAATCTTGCTAAGGAAAGGCTAAGAGTAGTGAGTAGCTCTGGGGTGTTAGAGGTGCATCACTTCTCTCCCTCACTAGGGATTTTGGTGAAAATTGATGAATGTTTGTGTTATAGTCTTGTTGCCAATCGCTCTTTGTCCTGGACCAGCTCATCATTTAGTATCTTGAACTCTGATACATTGCTTTAACCTCCTATTTTTCCCTTGGCAGGAGCAGGTGAAGGAGATGGACTTGATTTGTCTGTGTGCCCGAAAAGGCAAACACACAGAAGGAAATCCCTTAGTTTCCCTAATTCATTTGTCAGAGAAGGATTTCATTGAGAGTGCACTTGCAAAATGCTATTAACAGGGCTGCTCAGGGAAGAGCGAAGTATTGATGAAAA